GAAGGCACATGCGCACGGCTCTTGACTACTGCGCGATGCTGTCTGGCATACACCGACCATGTGCTCGTCGATGCATCGTGTAGGCTCTGCTCTCGCTGCAGTAGTAAGTAGTACATCCTTTTCAAGAGGACATGTATTCAACATCGTTCACAACCGAATACATCAAATCACCATCAAATCAACAACCATTGAGACGACATCGGAAGCAGATCACTCTGCTGCTTCTTGTGTGCCTGCATCGGAATCCTTGGCCGCGCAGCATGCACCGGACAATCCACTCGACTCTGCCTTGCATGCAGCGATCACTCTACCTGCTGCATTCTTGTGACCGACCGCAATTCCGGAAGGTTTCATGCGTCAGCAGAGTCAAGGAGTCGTTTTTGAGAGGACGTCGCCGCAATATGGTGAGCTTCACTCTAAGCGGAGTGATGAAGGGCTTGGCGAGGCGCGTCTCAGCGACCGGCACCTCATGTCCGGTCAGCTTTGCCAAAAAGCGAGTTGCCGCTGTGCATGCCGTCATGCGGTCGTGCAGATCGGGGGCGCTGATTCATGCGGATCACACGCTTGCTCTGTTCTCGGCTGGAAAGCAAGCACATTCAGCAGAGTGTGAGTGAGTGTCGCATTCAGATGCGCCGATGCGCCGCATCAGCTGTAGGCCGTCGCGACAAGCTGTATCGGTTCTAAACGCCGATGTCTTTTAAGCCGCGGACCAAAGTTTTTGGGTCGCGCGCACGCATACGCACACGCGCAAAAGCTGCCTTTTGCCCTGGCTCACGTCCCAACTCTTGGCGCATCACACTCGCCATTGCCGACGGGACGGACACTCGTAGAGATAAGCTGCAAGTCGTGCGGATCGACTGGCTGCCTACCTTTAAGCTGGCAAGAATGCGCGATGAGTCATGAATATGGCCTCGCTGATGGCCTTGAATGGACACGACGCGCTCGTCGACAAATGGGCCAGACGGTCACATCATGCACCAGCCTCGTGCTTCCGACTTCTTCGGCACCTGCACATCTGCACGGATGCGTGAGTGGTCGTCTGCCGCAATCCACTACTCCGTGACTAGTACGCACCATAAGAGACTAGGAAACCATCTAAGCACATCAGTCAAATTCAATGCTTGTCCTCCGAAGATCAGGAGCGGTCTCGACGGAAGCTTTGCTGATTCGCTCGCTCAGCATTGAATCGGAGCTTGCATGATGCAGCTAGCTGGATCGTGGCGCCGAATGAGTGCAGCATGCTTTACTCGGCTCAAGCGTGCGGAACCGATCTGCAGCTACTGTAACACAGCTATCGATAGCCGAACAGTGGGTATATGTATACAAGTCAGGTCCCAAGTCGCCTAGACTTGTCTGCCACCCGGTCGTGAGTCTCGATGGGATGAGTGGAGCCGCGGCAATAACAGCAAGACGAAGAGCGAGCGAGC